TGGTGCGGTCTCGAAAGAAGGAGCGGGAAGCACCCGAGTCAAGGGTGAAGGTGTGTAAGGCCTGAGCCGACGTGGTACCTGAGAGAGCAGACTCACCAGTACCTGGGGCAGCAGACGCACAAGCACCTAGAGCAGCAGCCTCACCAGCACCTAGAGCAGCAGCCTCAATGCCCGGGTCAGGCGGAACACACAGGTAACAGTCACCCTCAACACTATCAGACACAGCATACATGGCAGCAAGAATAGCATCATAATCAAGATCAAAGATAGCAACCCCCGCCCTAGACAGGTCTCCCCAGCGAGGGATCTCAGTGGCGCCAGGGAACTGGTGACGCCAGGCGTCCGTCAGGCGGCCGAAGCAGCGCTGGGTGGAATGTGGGCCCCCGCACTGCTCACCAGCGCGGTCGCCGGTACGGAGGACGTAGGTGCAGGGACCAGTACCCCCACCTCGCTGACGCGCAGCGTACCACTCACGAAGCTGCTGGGGGGACAGGGTCTCACGACTGCGCTGCTGCTGCTGGCACGGACCACCACCGGGGCCACTCCTCTGCGCAGAGCCGCGACCAGCTCCACCGCTGCCTCCGCCGCCTCCGCCACCTCCGCCGCCTCCGCCACCTCCGCTCCCTCCGCCACCGCCGCCGCCTCCTCCGCCTCCACTGCTGCCACCGACACCTCCACCCCCGCCACCACTCCCACCACCACCCCCACCCCCTCCACTGCCTCCACCACCACCTCCACCGCCCCCGCCAGCCCCTCCAGTGCCCTTGCCCCCCTTGCCCTTGCCGGTGCGGCGTCTCCCGCTAGGGGCAGACGCAGCGCCGACCGACTCGAAACCAACGAGGTCGGCCGCAGCAGCAGAAGCAACAGAGGGCAAGAGGGGGGAAGGGGAACACCCCTCAAAGACGGGGGTGCGAGGGTCACCACGAGAGGCTCCTACAGCGACTATGCTCTTCTCTGCTGCTAGGAGGCGCTCCTCGAGGAGGTCAACGGTGAGTGTGGTGGGGCAAACTGAGAGGAAGTGGTCCCTGACTAAGCGAAGGGAGTCAGGGAGCCGGGTGACTATGTAGTAGAGGGTGATGTACATGGGGGGGGGGTTCTTGGCACAGAACTCGGCAGGAAGCGCAGCGCGGTAGCGAATGTCGCTAGTGCGAAGGTGCGTAATGAGGTCAGCGACTGTGGGAAAGGCAGCAAGGTCAGGGAACAGGTACGGTAGCATGAGGCGGCTAAGCGCAGCAGTGGCAGGGGAAGAGTAGCGTGCAACTACAGCGTCGTACAAGGTCTGAGCACTCTTGTACTGGCTAAAGTGCGCACGCTCAGTGGTCGGTAAGTGGCGACGCACAGGAAGACGGGCAGCAGCATCGCGTGTGGCCCACTGTGAGCGAACAGTGCTGTCAGCAGTAGCAGGCGGGGCAGGAGAGGCACCAGAGGTGAGATCGAACAGGGAGAGTCCGTCTGCCCTATCGCACTGTAGGAACAGCTGGAGGTCATCGACCCAGACCTCAAAGTCAACAGCACGACCCTCAGCATCAAAGGTAAGGACACTGGGGGTAGCCATGACTGCAGTGGCCTAGCAGGGAGTGATCTCACCAGTCCGAGGAAGTAGGGCCGGGTCGCGCCGATAGGAACAGCAGCGGCTCGACGGCAGGGCGGCTCGGCGGCTCGGCTGCTGGGCGGGTCGGCGGCGCAGCGGCTCGGCTGCTGGGCGGCTCGGCGGCTCGGCTGTTGGGCGGCTCGGCTGTCGGGCGGCTCGGCGGCTCGGTTGCTGGGCGGCTCGGCGGCTCGGCGGCTCGGCTGCTGGGCGGCTCGGCGGCTCGGCAGTTGGGCGGCTCGGCGGCTCGGCTGCTGGGCGGCTCGGCGCCTCGGCTGTCAGGCGGCTCGGCGGCTCGGTTGCTGGGCGGCTCGGCGGCTCGGCGGCTCGGCTGCTGGGCGGCTCGGCGGCTCGGCTGTTGGGCGGCTCAGCTGCTGGGCTGCTCGGCGGCGTGGTGGCTCGGCCGCTAAGCTGCTGGGCGGCTCAGCGGAGAAGGGCCCGGTAGAGGCGGCGACGGGGCCAATAGAGGCGGCGACGGGGCCGGCAGAGGCGGCGATGGGGCCGCTAGGGGCGGCGACGGGGCCGCGTAGGGAGGGGAGCGGCGACGGGGCCGCGAGGGGCGGCTACGGGGCCGCGTAGAGGCGGCGACGGAGCCGCGTAGGGGCGGCGATAGGGCCGCTAGGGGCGGCGAAGGGGCCGCGTAGGGAGAGTGGCGGCGACAGGGCCGCTAGGGGCGGCAACGGGGCCGCGTAGGGGCGGCGACAGGGCCGCTTAGGGGCGGTGACGGGGCCGCGTAGGGAGAGAGGCGGCGACGGGGCCGCTAGGGGCGGCGACGGGGCCGCTAGGGGCGGCGACGGGGCCGCGTAGGGGCGGCGACGGGGCCGCTAGGGGCCGAGAGGGGCCTGGAAGGGCGGCAGAAGGGCGGCCCACAAGGCGCGCCTCGGGCAGGAGCGACTGACGCTCCGGTCAGAAGAAAAAATTTCAGTGGTGGGCCCAAGGAAGCGTTCCCACTAGGGAACCTGCTCTATACCATGTGAGAAATGAGGAATGAATGAACTAGGAAAGAGGTGGGTACAAGTAGGAAACCTAGAAATGTTGTACCCCATATAGTCTACCCCACTACATCCTACACAGACTATAGCATACAAGTTTGACAGACCCATCTCGTGGCTGTCGAGCAAGCAGGAGTTAATCACCCTCTCTTCATCTGAAGCAGAATATATCGCACTTTGCTCAGCCACCAAGGAAGGACTGTACCTTCGCGAACTCCTGGAGGAAGCGAAGCTAGCCCAATTACCCAGCTTCTCCTTGTTTTGCGACAACCAGTCGGCAATTCGCATAGCCAACAAAAATGGATTCGCGAACAGGACGAAACACATCGCCCTGCGATATTTCTTCGTGAAGGACGAGATCGAGAAGGGGAGACTCAAGTTGTTTTACTGCCCCACGTCCGAGATGGCAGCTGACTACTTGACCAAGAAACTCGGAAAGCAGAAGTTTGAGTATTGCATGCTGCTGACTGGACAAAGCCACGTCACCAGCAGCGACACTCCAGAAGCAAAGGGGAGTGTTTTAAACAAGTAACTTAAGCGCCTCTGTCGTGTCGAAGCACTAAGATATAAGCGAAGCAAAACACAGCGAAGCAGCGGCGAGTCAACCCTCGGAGTTTGAACAACTGCTGGAGGTTACACGAAAGTCAAAGGTCAGTGACCTTTGACCTGACAAATACAGCGCGACAGCAAGGACAAACAACTGACTCGTTATTGAGCAGTTGCCCGAGTCGTCACTGTATCGAACCGAAACAGCAATAGTAAAACGGTTATTAACTGTATCTCTTCGTATTCCTTGTACTCTTATAAAAGCTTGTATCTCTTTGTTTTAATCAATCTACTTTGCCCTCACATACCAGCGTAAGGTGGTTCCAGGGCTGACGTTTCAAATTTAGGTACCCTGAGTTCAACCTAAAAAAAAAAAAAATATATATATATATATATATATATACCCTGAACGCACATTTTCCAGAAGAAACAGCACCCTGATTGCTCAGGGTTGAGAAGTAGTGAACTCTGAATGTTCAGGGTTGAGAATTGAAAATCAGGGTCGTAGTAACGCGCTCTTTCTTTACCGGGGAAATAAGTCTCACTCAATCAGAACTCTCATTCTGCTCGAAATCTGACAGTCTACGGGGATTTCAGGCAGAATCTGCCTTGACCTAGCGCAAAGAGATTTCCGTACAGAGCAAAGGTCGAATCTGCGGTTGGTGTCGCAAGGGTTGCTGTGACTGGCGCTGTGACTGGCGCACTGTGATTTGCAATGTGACTGGCATTGTGGCGATGTGACTGGCACTGTGGCGATGTGACTGGCGCTGTGTCAGACACAACTATTTCGACCAATAACAGCAACCTAGAACTGACATTACAGATTCGCCCGATCTCAATGGTGGGTGTATGGGAACGAAAAATCTTAGAAACTTCGGTCCGATAAAACGAGGGGTGGGGGGGATTACGCACGTGGGGGGTACTGAAATCAATCCAAAGGCAGGGTTATCAGGAAGAAATTTCCGAGAAACTTCGTCCCGATAACATCTCATTCAGGGTCTACAGGCTGCGTACTCTGTATTGACAGGGTCCGTGAAAACCCTATACTGGGAGTGTACACAAAATTTCAGGGTCCACTAAAGCAATACTCTGAATGGATCAGGGACCAAAATGTGAAAAACCTGATTTCTCAGGGACCAGAAAGTGACAAGTCTGAAATCACCCTGAAATCAGGGTAATTACCCTGATAAAATCAGCCCTGGGTGGTTCACAAACCTTTCATTAAACGCTTCCGCTATTACATTGTCCTACTCAGAGTTTAGTCCTGCAAAGATCCTAAGGGCCTTTTCAGCCCAACACAATTAAGAATGTCAAGAGAAATGTTGTACTCTCTATAACACTACATGTACGTACCTCGTAGCCTAACATATCTATCTAGACAATGTAATTCGACAACAGGAGATCCAAGTTGGCCCCGAAACCGTTCATCACGAATCCGGGCTCCCTTTTAAACCTTGCCCTGGGAATGCCCGACCTGAGCCAAAGCCACCACGTAATGTTAGGCATAAGAAGGGCAAATAACCTTGAAACAACAGGCCTACTTGGGGTCCATTAAGCAGGCACATTTAGTGTAAAACCGACTAAGAACGATTTCTGAAGTCCATAGAGCGGACAATTTTATGGCAAAGTGCTAACACATTGATATAACCAACGCAAAAACAAGGCATCACTGCTACAGAAAATATCACGATTTGCTATATTTCAAGACCTATCTACCATAAATTTGAAATACTCGAATGCTTACGGTATGTTGCACCTCCTCATGGTAAGAGCCTACCACACTGCAACTACCAACGTAAAAGCAACCAATGAAAGCGAATCATAAGTGCCTCCAACACGGGAGGAGAAGCGGTGGCGTGGACAGGTGAGGAGAGTTAGAGCCAGGAGAAGGGAATGAGGTTGGCGATGGAGGAGAAGGGGGCGAGGAAGGTGTTGGGGTAGTACATGGCGACCTGGGCAGGGTCAGTCACGATGCCCGGCAGTGCCCACGCTATGCGCGGCCCCACTGACCCCGGCCCACTGTTGCCCTGCTCTATGAACGTGGAAGTATTGTACACTACTCCATTCCAGTCCAGCCAGCCACTTGTATTCAGCTGCGGGAAGGGCACACAAACAGCAAGAGCAAAGTTGTGACGGGGGTTGAGGAGGTGCAATGATTGTGGTATGGCAGAAAAGGAGACAGCAGAATGACGAGGGAAAGAGAGGGGGGGAGAGGAGGGCATACCACATTGCTGATTGTGGTGTTGATAATAGCCACTCGTGCATAGGGCTTCCAGGGTCGTCCGAGGTATGCCTTGTTGACAAGGTCTCCCTTTATGACTGAGTTAAGCAGCACAATGCCCGTGTTCTCAGTGTAGTTAGTTCTTCCTGATGCCGTGACGGGTGCGTTCGTGTGTGGGCGGATGTGGATTGTGCAGTTGTCCAGCACGGCCGCGCCGTTGCCAAATATGAAGTCCACCGATCCGTTCACGTAGCAGTTACGGTAGTACTGCCGCCCGCCGTGCGTGTAGAGTGTGTCCTGCCAGCCAATGAACTCGCACTCGTACAAGGCCCCACCGTCGCCCGTCAGCCGGAAAGCCACTGCCTGGTTCCCAGCCTTCCCTGCGGTGTTCTCAAAGCGAATGCCGATGGCCACGAAGCCAGTAGCGTCCACAGCTGCCGGGAATAGAGGAGAGGGACAAGGGGGAAAGAAGGGGAAAGGTAGAGTTGGAGAGGGATGTAGAAAGGTTGAAGAGGGGAAAGGTGGGTAGACAGCACAAGAACACGGAGCAATTCAGAAGATGACGGAGGCAGGAAGGCGAGGAGCAAGGGAGAGCGGGTCGGTGCTTACCAACAGTGGGTGTCTGGAAGGTCCCGGTGCCGGCAGTGGCGTTGTCGTACCACGAGATGACAGTGGAGGCAGCGCCGGTCCCCAGCAACGTGACATTCTTGCAGGTGGAGTTGACCAGCACCTTCTCACGGTAAAAGCCCGGCTGGATGAACACCACATAGCGCCCCTTGAAGCCCTTCGGGTAAGCCGTGACCGCAGCCTGCTCAGCCCAGGGGAGCACACACAAGGCACACACAGACATGTCAGGGGCGAGAACAGCAGAAAAGTATGGTGAGAGAAATTCCCCCTCTCCTGAGGATAAGCAGACTGCCGCACACACCCTCTCACACGCACCTGAATTGTGAGGAAGTTCCCTGAACCTTCCTGTGCAACTGTGACCGTGGGGGTGATGCGCGGAGCGGGAGGTGGGGGAGGCGGCGGAGGAGATGGGGGCGGGGAAGGGGGAGGGGAGGGAGGAGGAGGAGGCGGGGAGGGAGGGGGAGGGGAAGGCGGAGGGGGAGACGGAGGAGGAGAGGGAGGGGGAGGGGAAGGGGGAGGAGGGGAAGGTGGGGGAGGGGAAGGCGGAGGGGGAGACGGAGGGGGAGGCGAAGGAGGCGGGGGAGAAGGAGGAGGGGAAGGAGGAGGGGGAGAAGGAGGAGGGGGAGAGGGAGGCGGAGAAGGAGGCGGAGAAGGAGGAGGGGAGGGTGGAGGGGGAGGGCTGGGGCCGCCAGGGTGCATCCAGCCGGTGGTGTTGAAGGGCACGCCAGGGACCCCAGCAGTGTTGTTGGCTGACGTGGGGCTGCCGCCGCCGGGCATGATGCCCGGATTCCCAGTACTAGTGGTGCCCGTAGTGCTGGTTTCGGGGATGGAGTTGTGCGGGTCGGCCACCGTGATGGCACCGGCTGTGCCAGTGGCGGTAGATCCCGCACCACCGATGCTAGTCGTGGTGGCTTGCACCAGGCGGCGGCGAGTGGGAGAGGGCGAAGGCACGGCGGCGGCAGCAGCAGTGTCGTCGCCTGCTGCGATCATGGCCGCCATGTCCGCCGCTCGCCCCAGCGCCTCCATCACCAACGCACGAGCTTCCATTGCTGCCTCCTGCACGCACCAACATACACGTCGCCACAGCCGCGGGTGGAACATCATGAGCACCTCACAATCAGCACATCAGAGCGGCAATCTGGGCAACGAATGGTGGAGCAGGCAAGCGAGCAGGCAAGCGAGCAGGCAGGCGAGCAGGGGGCGAGGATCCACGGAGGCGCGCACCTGGAGCGCCTTGACGCGCGGGTCGCGGGAGCTGCCCGGCGCGAAGAGGTCGAATCCCTCGGCACAGTCGAGCGCGAGCGTGACGGCGTTGGAGAGGTGGATGCGCGGCAGATTCACGTCCTCGCCGCCGCTCTCCATCAGCCCCGCTGCCTCCTCCACGCTCTCTCCCACCAACCCCATCTGCCAGCAAATAGTACAAGGACATGATGAGCGTGACGGCACAACGCACAGGGCTTGCTGTCATACGAGCAGAATCTGGAACAAGTCCAAATCGAAAGTGGTCGTCTCACCTGCTCAACGCAACTGCTCGCCAGATCGGCCGAAGCCTCTACGTCTGTCGCATTCTCCAGTGCCGAAGCGAGAAAGTGCGCCTCGGCCGCCTTGGTCTTGCCGGCCGCCATGTGCGTCTGGGCTTCGTGCGCCTTCAGATGGAACTTGGCGGCCCGCCACACCACCAAGTCCCGCATGCGCACTCCCAACGTTGGCTCCGCGCGATTCCCGCCATGCCCCGCGGCGGCGGCATCAGGCTGGTCGGGGGGGCCTTGGTTGGCGCCTAGGCTGCCAGTGTCGGCAGGTGCTTGACCGCCGGGCGTGCCGCCTGCGCCGCCTGCGCCTGGTCCTGCGTCTGCGCCAGCGCCTGCGCCTGCACCTGCGCCTGCCCCTGCGCCAGCGCCTGCGCCTGCGTCTGCGCCTGCGCCTGCTCCTGCGCCTGCTCCTGCGCCAGCGCCTGCGTCTGCGCCTGCGCCTGCTCCTGCGCCTGAGCCTGCGCCAGCGCCAGCGCCTGCGCCAGCGCCAACGCCAGCGCCTGCGCCTGCGCCTGCTCCGGCATCTGCGCCTGCGCCTGTGCCAGTGGGCCTTTGGTTTGTCCCTGCGCTGCCTCCGTCACCGGCGTTGGCGGGTCCTTCGGCGGCGCCTGCGCCGCCAACGCCTCCGGCGGCGTCAGTGGATCCTGGACCGTGGGCGACGCCGCCTGCGCCGGTGTCGGTTGATCCTTGATTGGCGGCCGCCGGGCCTGCGCCGCCTGGGGCCCCTTGGTCTGTCGCTCCGCTGCCTCCAGCGTAGGCGGGTGCTTCGCCTGCGCCACTGGTGTCGATGGGTCCTTGCCCGACGCCTGCGCCTGCGCTGCCTGCGCCTGCGCCGCCTTCGACCTGCTCGACCAGAGAGCGTTCCTGCTGCTCACCGGCGGTCGCTCCGCCACGAAACCATGATTGCAGATGGCTCATCAGGCCAAGGCTCTGGGAGGTTGTGAGGCGGCGGGAAGATCGGAACATCACGGGCGCATCCGCTGCCGCTGGCAGTGCTGCCGGGCAGAGCAGAAGAACCACCATGGTCGCTACGAGTAGCGCCGACGCATGATGGACGGTCATGGCTGACACGTCAGCACCACGCTGGGTCTTGCGGGGCGGGCTGCCGCCGTGACCACCTTGTCTGCGGAGTGTCGACAGCTGCTTGAGGATAGCGAAGATCGAAGTTGTTACACGAGAGATTGTTGTGAAAAGATGAGTCCATGCCTGAAGTCGTCGCTGCTTTGTACTCGGACGAATCTAGCTAACTTCGAGTCTTCGACCCTCACTGAGAGTGACCGCCTGCAGTCCGTCATTTCGTGTGAGTGTGCGTGATTGGTTGACCACGACGCGGCGTCGTGGGATGCCAGCTGGTCGAAGCGCGCGAAGATCGCTGACGAGAGATTTCAGTGGTATGGTCTGCTGATCAACAAGCAGCACGTGCGGTCAGATTACAGAGTTGGGTGAGAGACTTGCAGTTCTGGGAAAGGTTTGTTTCCCCATTCGACTGAGAAGGGTGATTCTCCTCATACGCGCAGAACTGTTTTGTCTGGGTGATTGAAGTCCGAATGAAACCTGTTTTGATTTTCAGACTTTTGCGGCTTCTTGGAGGAAACGTATATTTTGAAGTCCAAATTCAAGTCTCATGAAACAACATGCCACCGTCGAGCCGTCATTCTAAAAACGTAGTTAGACTCAATTTTTATATAAACCCGTCGAGAAGAATTCAGTTGAGTGCCCTGAAAATGTCAGGGTGATATTCTGGTGGCTCGACACACAATTTCTGGGTAGCTGGTAGTAGCTGTCATCTGGCGGGACGGCAGGAAGGCTGTCAGACGGTTGTCACCCTGACCTCCTTTTGCTGGGCCGGCTAATTGTCGCAGCGACATTTTGCCATTTCAGACCTTCATTCCACTACCGCGACGCGAGCTGCTCCCTTCACTCACAGCCGTTGCAGTCTCACGAAGAGTATATCTCAGCGGACAAGCGAGTCCGCCCGGGGGAGCTCGCTGCCCGCGGGCAAAAAAAATAAACCCCAGAAGGGCACGCATCCGGTCAGGGAGGCATCAACCCTAAACACAGGGAGGCATGGATTTAGGGTTGATGCCTCCCTCGGATGGCATGCCATCCGACGGGGTTTTAGTTTTTGTCTGCCCGGGGCAGCATGTCGCCAAGTCGTCAGAGGGTCGTCAAACTTGACGACCCGTTTCCGCTGAGATATTCCGAGTCAAATCGTGCACGTCTACACTACAATAGCCGATGCTTTCATACGAAGTTGTTTTATCTATATACATACGGTCATCCGTCTAATATGCTCAATGCACCCAGTGCCAATTATTGGTTTTAGACACTCTGGGCCATCTGACCTGAACATCTGGATAGTCATGAGTTTTAGTCCTCGGAATTTTTTTTAGTCTGGTTTTCAGACCAGCTAATTTTTTATTTATGACTCATCATCACACCTCAATTTTGGAAATCTGACTTGGTGGGTATAGAACGTCCATCTGTTACACGTGCAATTGAACGAGATAGCAAGGATTGCACTAGGTGTCAAACAATTACAAAGTATGAGCGAAGGCATGAGCGAATACTTGTGCGAAACGTGCAACGGTTACGCGGTGCGTGCGAGCTAGCTAGTGCTAGGCTGACATCAAGGTTCGGGCTAGTCCCGAAGCGTAGGCCGACCCGGCCGGACCAGCGGCGCATGGTTTGGTGAAACTGTGCGCGAGAAGTTGACGTTGCCCCGTTAGCAGTAACGGGCGAACAACGGCTGCTGCTGTACGCGATGTTGATGGTCGCGGTAAGGAATGTCGAGAAAATTCCTTACCCCCCCCCCCCCCTCTCTCTCCTCAAGAAGCCCCCTCAGCTATGCGAGTGCGTGTATATCGCGGAAACCCCGGCTCCTCCAGTAGACTTGCAGGGCAGGGTGGTTTTCGATGTTGGCCAGGGGCACCCATCTATCTTCAGTTGGCGTGCGGTCCTACCAGCGAACGAGGATTTCGATCCTTTTGATGCCAGTCGGGTGTCGAATCCGATGGCTCAGAATCTTCTCGGGCTCAATGATCGGCTCCGGTGCAGGGCGAGTCATGTATGGCGGGCGGTGACGAGGCAGTTTACTTGTGGTTGGGATGTAAGGGCGAAGTAGGCTGACGTGGAATGATGGGCTTGCGGAGAGACACTGTACAACGGTAATGAGCTAGACTACGGGGGTTGGCACGAACTACTATGGGTGATCGTAGCTTTGCTTAGTTCATTAGTGCTTGCACATACACGGGAGAAATCGGCAAGAGTTTCACTAGGCAAAGTTGGAGTTACCGAATGGTTGAACAAGGAATGACAACAATGACTACATCAGGCACATGCAGCTAGCCTGGTCGACCGCCAGCACAGCTTGGTCGACCGCCTGCCAGCGTTGCGTATAGGAGCCGCGCCAGCACTGCAGAAGAGCGACCTGCCAACGCTGTAGGTCGACGGCGTGCCAACGCTGCAGCAAAGCGGCTGTGTAGCGTTGCCCCGTAGAAGACAGCAGTGCGCACGCTCGCAGGTGCGCGCAGACGATTGGCCCGACTTGCATCGTAGTGCATCCGTCGGTTGTTTTCTGCACCTGACGAGCCACATCGACTTCAGGATACCAACCCGAAGTCGCCTTCGCCACCGCGACCTCGACGACATTCGTGTGCCTTCGCGGAACTCGTCGAGCAGGTTACCCGGTCGACCTGGACACCACCAGGTGCTCTGGTTGACCACCAAGTGCCTCTGGTCGACCATCGGGTCCCTCAGGTCGACCACCAGGCCCCTCTGGTCGACCACCAGGTGCCCCTCGTCGACCACAACTCCCGTCAAGCTACCCGCTGGTCGACGGACCCCTTCCGTCGACCAGAACTGTCAGCGGTTGTCGCCGAGCTCCCCTCGTCAACCGCTGCTCACTTGTCAGGACGACGGACTGCTCCGTCGACCTCCTGGTCGAGCTGCCCCTCCTAGTCGACGGCCCACCCGTCGCCCAGAGTCAGTTGCAGCTGTCGAGCTCCCTGGTTGACAGCAACACCACAGCGGTCCCCTGCAGCTCGACGAAGCCAGCGAGCAGCTCTCCCACTGTGAACGGTCGGCTGCTACTCCCGTACATCCGACCAAGTTGTCGCCGTTGCCCAAGCGAGGGTGGGCCAACACTCCATTCCCGTTAACACTCCCCTGCCGCGCTCACGCTTGGGCCTCCAGCCCACAAGGAAGTACTCCACGGAGAAAACTCATTCTCGGCGTGTACCCCACACACAGCACGCCGTCACCGCACCAGCCGTGCAGAAGGGCACGGCACCTACTGCTGCACATCATCGTCGCCGTCGCCAACGTCGGCCAGACGAACTTGGCCGATGGCGACAGAGCACCGGTTGAAAGCCGGAAAATGCAGCGCCTTCGTCAGGAAGTCAGCCGGCTGCTCGATGGTCGGGATGTACTTCAGCATGAACTTCCTGCGGCTCACCATGTGCTGCAGCCAGGCATAGCGTCGCTCCTTGCCAGTCAGCCCCAAGCCCTCAGCGACCGTGATTGCCGACTTGTTGTCTACACGAAGGACAGTCGGCTTCCCAGCGTTGAGCCTCTTGGATTCTGCAAGGAGGAAGCGAAGTCGACGCCCCTCCTTGCTGGCGTCCGTGGCCGCGACGTACTCTGACTGTGTCGAGGAGAACGTCGCGCACTTGATGCGCTGGCTCGACCAGGAGACCGCGGCCCCTTTGAAGACGAACACATAGCCGCCCGTGCTCGTCCGCTTCTGCTTGTCGCCCGCATCGTCGGCGTCCACATAGCCGATCAGCTCCAGCGACTCTGGTCCACCGCCGAACTCCAGGGCGGTGTCGCGGGTGTCAGCGAGGTAGGCGAGGCAGCGGTCGACCTCACGCCAATGCTGGTCGCTCCTCATCGTGAGGCAACTCCCCAGCTTGCTGCATGCGAATGCGATGTCCGGCCTTGTCGTCGTCGCCGAGAACTGCAGCGAGCCGACCTTCTACCGGTACTCCTCCTCCTCGCGCTCCTGGGCCTCCTCGTCGTCGAACGTCAGCTCAGCGTAGGCGTCGATCGAGACCGGCGTCTTCGGGACTCGACCGCCCTGCTCCTCGTCGATGAAGCGCTTGCGCAGCTTGTCGGTGTAGTTCTGTTGGTGCAGCCACATCTTCCTCGCAGGCCTGTCGCGCATGATCTCCAGCTCGAGGTACTTGACGACAGGCGAAATCTTGCGCAGCTCGAAGGCAGCATCCAGTAGCTCCTTCAGCATCGCAGTGCTACTGATGGCGGCAAGCAGGTCGTCGACGTAGACCAGCACCCAGTAAGTCACACCGTCGTCACCGGCCTTGAGGTAGAGTGCCGTGTCGACCTGGCTCTTCTTCCAGCCAGCGCTCAGCAGCACACTGTCGAGAGCCCTATACCATAGTAGCGGAGACTGCTTCAGCTAGTAGAGGCTCTTCAGCAGTTTACACACCCGGCCGGTCCCATCGTCGAAGTAGTCCGGCTGGTACATGTAGAGCACCCCGTCGAGCTTACTCTGGAGGAAAGCGTTATTCATGTCGAGCTGCATCAGCTTGAGGTCGAGGAAGGCGACGATGCTGAGGAAGATCCTCAGCGTGACGTAGCTGCTCACCGGCGAGTACGTCTCGTCGTAGTCGGCGCCGTACACCTGCGTGAAGCCCTTTACGACCAGCCTCGCTTTCTCACGCTCGACGGTGTCGTCGATGCAGTACTTGGTCGTTCGCCCACCGATTCTTCACTATTTTCACCCCGCATGGGCGTTCGACCACCTCTCAAGTGCCCATGCCGATGAGGCTGCGGATCTCTTCTCCCATGGCAGCCTTCACCGCCTCGCCCTTCCAGCTCGCCCGCACCTCCTTCACCGTCATCGTGGCGATGTCCCAGCGGTGTTCGGGGTCGGCATGCACGTCGGGGTCGAGCTCCAGCAGTTCTTCATCATCCTCGGCGTCGTCGTACAACAGGTCGTTGCCGACCTCGTCGTACACCGTGGTGAAGGCAGGTGGCAGTAGGCAGGCGTGGAAGCTCAGCCACTGCGGCGGCCTTCGAGCTCGACCTGTGAGTCGCAACTT